ACATAGTGCTTGTGGTCAGTAGGAGGAGGAATAGTGCATCATCATTGGTATCAGTGGGAGGAATAGTGCCCCATCACTGGTATCAGTGGAAGAAATAGCACCTTATTGTTGGTGTCAGTAGGAGGAATAGTGCCCCATCATTGGTAAAATATGAAAGTGCAGCGCTAACTTAAACAATGATTACACATAAGATAGATCCCATTTGAATGTGGATCGGCAAAAAAGACGGCGTCAGTTCATCAGATGTGCTAAATACGTATACAGTCTCCAACACTTGAAGAGCCAGGGATAGTAGATATCAGAAATGATAAAGAAAAGCCAAGTAATGCACTGACCAGATAGCGCAAGCTAAAGCGCATGGGACATTTAAGACCTGTCCCTGGTACTCAGCCACTGTATCACTGGAGCAAGGCGGTGTCATCTATAGGGTGACCACTAGATGTCATCTGTCCGGATGGAAGCTGTGTTCAGCCACTGTGTTGATGGATCAGGTGGGTGTTGTCTGTAGGGTGACCACTAGATGTCATCGGTTCCAGGGGAAACTGTATCACGGATCCAGGGACGTCACTGCAGATGTGTTCTTGTTAGGCACAATCCCAGGACCTACTGGATTTACAGGCTCCCCAGAAATAAAGAGCCCGTGGAAAAAGGCCTCAAATAGTGTGATAACGTTTATTTAAAATTGAACAATCAGAAAAGAACTTACTTAGCAAAGGTACAGCTGCTTATAAACGGCCAGACCGGAGGTACATGTACATAAGATAAACATAGCTTGGCACTTCCCAAGACTCAAGCAACAATATCTTATACCAACCAAAGAATAGCGTATCAACCACCTTCCACCCACAAAGTGGGCGACATTACCTCATAAAGGTGGACCTTCACTGTCAAACAGAACTGTTGTTAACCAATAGCAGACCAAAATGCTTAGTCACCAAGACTCAAGCAGCAATATCTTATATAAGGGGTCTCTAAACTTGTCAAACAAAGGGCCAGTTTACTGTCTTTCAGACTTTAGGGGGGCTGGATTGTGGCCAGTGGGGCCAAGCATCAGTTAGAATAAACAGTACCACAGGGTTGGTAATCAGTTACATAGTGCTTGTGGTCAGTAGGAGGAGGAATAGTGCATCATCATTGGTATCAGTGGGAGGAATAGTGCCCCATCACTGGTATCAGTGGAAGAAATAGCACCTTATTGTTGGTGTCAGTAGGAGGAATAGTGCCCCATCATTGGTATCAGTGGGACAAATAGTGCCCCGATACCAATGATGGGTCACTATTCCTCCCACTGATATCAATGATGGGGCACTATTCCTCCCACTGATACCAGTGATGGGGCACTATTCCTCCCACTAATACCAATGATGGGACACTATTCCTTCCCATTGATACCAATGATGGGACACTATTCCCCCCCACTTATACCAATGATGGGGCACTATTCTTCCCACTGATACCAACGATGGGGTATTATTTTTTCCACTGATATCAGCGATGGGGCACTATTCCTCCCACTGATACCAATGATGGGGCACTATTCCTCCCACTGATACCAATGATGGGGCACTATTCCTCCCACTGATACCAATGATGGGGCACTATTCCTCCCACTGACACCAATGATGGGGCACTATTCCTCCCACTGATACCAATGATGGGGCACTATTCCTCCCACTGATACCAATGTTGGGGCACTATTCCTCCCACTAATACCAATGATGGGACACTATTCCTCCCACTAATACCAATGATGGGACACTATTCCTCCCACTGATACCAATGATGGGGCACTATTGTTCTCACTGATATCAATCATGGGGCACTATTCCTCTCACTGATACCAATGATGGGGCACTATTCCTCCCACTGATAGCAGCGATGGGGCACTATTCCTCCCACTGATACCAATAATGGGGCACTATTCCCCCCACTGATACCAATGATGGGGCACTATTCCTCCCACTGACAGCAATGATGGGGCACTATTCCTCCCACTGATACCAATGATGGGGCACTATTCCTCCCACTGATACCAATGATGGGGCACTATTCCTCCCACTGACACCAATGATGGGGCACTATTCCTCCCACTGACACCAATGATGGGGCACTATTCCTCTCACTGATACCAATGATGGGGCACTATTCCTCCCACTGATATCAGCGATGGGGCACTATTCTTCCCACTGATACCAATGATGGGGCACTACTCTTCCGCCTACTGACCACCAACCCTGAGGTCATGTTTATTTTTACTGATGCTGGGCCCAAGATAATTTTACCCCCACTGGCCACAACCCGGCCCTCCTAAAGTCTGAAGGATGGTAAACTGGCCCTTTGTTTGAAAAGTTTGGAGACCCCTGGCCTAGGCGATCGGAAGCGGAAGTTGTCCTCCCGTCCTCCCTCTTTGTAGTCTTCTGGAACATGCGACAGGTCCCAAAAGGCTATGGGACCATTTAGAAAGCGAAACGCTACTTGCACATGCTCAGTGGGCATCCGGCAGTGAAGCTGCAAGCTGTCACACTGAAGATGCTGGTGCCGGGAACACAGGATGGCCGGTGAAACGGGCTGCGGGATGGACACTGCGGGATCGAGGAACAGGTGAGAGGCTGTGTTTTTTTAAAAGTCAGCAGCTACAGTTTTTGTAGCTGCTGACTTTTATTTTTTTACAGAGTGACTGGAACTCCACTTTGAGGCTGAAACTTCAGACCAATATGTTATGACCCTGTGGATTAATGAATGTGCAAAACAGAGAAACCTGAATTCCAGTTTGCCATCCATATATTTATTCTTCCAGACCTGTTGGTTTTAGACACCCTCCTATCCACTGGTGGGACTACCGCCATAGCACCCCAAGGATGAGAAGTGTTGGGTGGAAAAGGAATCTCCTGTTCTGCCAGCCAGCAGTTACGCTGTCCTGCCCGACATCATCCATACCTCCATCGGTGCAGGATCCACACAGGATTTGATAGCTCACCAGATTGCTGCTGTCCTTTGTGAACATAGGAGCTGGCAGAGGAAGTCTTCCACAACTTGCTTCCTCTACAGGTAGGACAGATAACATCTGAGGCAGAGTTCAGCAGAGGAAACAATTAGTGGAAGGCTTCCTCTGCCATCTTCTGCATTTATCAATTACAGTGGCAATCTAGTAAACTGGTAAATCCTATGTATGCCCCTCACTGATTGAAATCTGGATGGGGTAATCCTGAGCAGTAGAATTAAGCTACTACTCTCTCTATGTCAAAATATCCGCCGCAGTCCCGGCATAAGTCGCTGGTCGCTGCCATAAGTCCCTGATCGCCGCCATAATTCGCTGATCGCTGCCATTATTAGTATAAAAAAAACCCTAAAAATCCCAGTATCTTTCCTGCCATTTGTAAACGCTATAACTTTCACGTAAACCAATTAATTTACACGTATTGGGTTTTTTTTTAGCAAAGACATGTCGCAGAATGCATTTTGGCAGAAATTTATGACTAAATTTGATTTTTGCTTTTTTTTTTTTTACTGGACATGTTTTATAGCAAAAAGTCCAAAATATTGTTTTTTTTTCCTCAAAATTGTCAGCCTTTTTTTTTTTATAGCGCAAAAAATAAAAACTGCACAGGCGATCAAATACTACCGAAAGAAAGCTCAATTTGTGGGTAAAAAGGATGTAAATTTCATTTATGTACCATATTGCATGACCGCGCAATTGTCCGTTAAACTAGCGCAGCGCTGTATAGCAAAAAAAATGGCGTAAATTGCAGTATTGCAGTATCTATACCATAGTTTGTAGACGCTATAACTTTCACACAAAGCAATCAATATACACTTATTGGGATTTTTTTTACCAAAAACATGGAGCAGAATACATTTTGGCCTAAATTTATAACCAACTTTGAGTTTACTATATATTTTTTATAGCTGAAAATGAAAAATAATGTTTTTCTTCAAAATGTTTGGCCTTTTTTTGTTTATAGCGTGAAAAATAAAAAGCGCACAGGTGATCAAATTACACCGAAAGAAAGCTCTATTTGTGTGAAAAAAAGGACGTAAATTTCGTTTGGGTGCAGCATTGCATGACCGCGCAATTATCAGTTGAATTAGTGCAGCGCCGAGTAGCAAAAAGAGGCCTGGTCATTAAGGGGGGTAAATCCTCTGGAGCTCAAGTGGTTAACCTATTTCACAAGTCCTCATTCCGTATGCCATGCTCTACATTCCATATTCTGCAACACCTCATGTTTCACGCTATGTTGATACATTCCCTACTTCACAAGGCCTAATTTTGTAAAATATGCTATCCATTCCTTTTTATGGACCATCTCATTCTGTACCCGATGCTGTAGGTTACTTTATCTTCAAAGCCCTATTTCGCATACCATGCTATGCTTTCTCAATTTTTTCTGCCTCATCCTCTATGCCATGATGTATGTTCCCATTTCTATACCAGCTCTTTTCTTTTGCCATGCTGTACGCTATGCTGTGCATTTCCTAAATGGTGAAGGCACAGGTTCACTTTAAATTGCACCCTTTAAGTTGAGATTGTGTCAAGACATATCATAACCTAGTCCCTACTAGACCTTAGCATGTTCTATTAAAAAGCCCATCACTAGGATCTTTGATAATAGAGCCTGTGCCTCCAAAGAGTCCTCCATTCCTCTACATAAAAAAATATAGACACATCCAGAACACTTTGAAAAGAATGATGGGCTTTTTTCGAGAAAACAATGCAAGCAGCAAAACCTTCATGGTGCCCAATTTTATTATGGTTTGACTTTAAAGGTGAGCTTTATGCTTTCCTGCTTTCATGTGTTACTGAACTTAAGTTCACTTGTCTCCTGGCTGATCTGAAAGGAATTGGAATTCACCAAGAAGACTTGAACCCTTGGCTACAAAAAGAAGAGCCTCAGATTTGGCCTACTGTAGCTCCCACTACTTCTAGGCTAAGTTTTCTGAAAATAGCGGTGATGATAATGACTGACTCTACAAACTCTTTCTCTTTTAACTTCTGCTCAATTTTATGAAGCTTTTGTAAAGGACATGCTAATGAGGTTTTCTAGAACTTCCAAGGGAGGATGAATGACATTACATGCATAGGCAATAGTCATGTCCAAGCCATCAACAAACCCAACGTTCAACCCTTCAAAAATCTCCCGGAGTGCCAGGTATTGGACATGGCCATGGAAATCACTGAAGCGTTCCATGTCAATGTCCATGTCACGGGCATTCTCCTCCTTTATGATCACTCTGGTGCGTGGACTTCGGATAAAGAGCCGTTCAATCGCTCTCCGTACATTGATCGCTGACCTGATGAAAGTTCGAAAGGGAAAAGGCCTGAAATGTTGACCTAAAGTAAGAATTATGATAGTATTTTCTCCTCCGCCAATCTGGTCAATTTGGCGGGCCATGTAGGCGTCTTCTTTGATGGAGTAGAAGGTTTTACTGACAAATGGGAAAGTGTGTTTCTTCCACTGGACATAAATAAACTTTTCCAGATTAATGGCCAGAAGAGTCTTTTGCCAGGACTGCATCTCATCCTCCGTGTGATTGAAGTAATCCACAACTTAAAGAAGTAAAAACAATAATTCTTATTAACACTCCAGGGGTTTTGGGAAGGAAGGAACGAAGGAAGAAAGGAAGAAAGGATGGAAGGTCTTTGAATACTTACTTTTAACACTCTCCACAGAGTGGATCTGTGCATAAAACATGGCAATTTCCTATCTAATAGGAACAGCTGTAAATGGTACCTTAAAATATCTACTGTTTGATTTGAATTCCTCCAAACATTTGCAGTGTGGTTTGATTCAGATAGTTTTATATTTGCATTGTGAGATATTGTAAGGCAATACTGCCTCTTACTGCTAATCCCATAAGATTTGGTGGTGTACTACTGTGTTTTTCACTATTCTCCTTGCTGGAGGGAAAGCTGTACCTGAGGACCGGCAATGCAAAAATCTTCTTGTTTTTGCTTTATTTATTCTAGTGATCTGTGCTTCTTCCCCTTCTATTTCTGCTTCTTGAATAATTAATCAGATCAACAGCCATAGCAGTCCTGAGATGAAAACACAAAAAACTGACTCTACTAAGATGGTTGCCTCCACACAGGGACACATTGGGGTTGATTTACTAAAACTGAAGAGTGCAAAATCTGGTGCAGCTCTGCAGTTCTCTTCCAGTCTACCAATCAGGTTCCAGGTTTTATTGCCAAAGCTTAACTGAACAATCTGATGTCAGAAGTTGATTGGCTACCATGCACAGCTGCACCAGATTTTGCACTCTCCAGTTTCAGTAAATCAACCCCAGTGTAAAATGAGGCATGGCAAGTTAGTAATGGAGAAGACATTAGCTGCAGGAAGACAACAGGCAATACTGGTAACCTGTTTCCTGTGGCTGACTTTTTTGGGTACAGCCTTCCCAGTACAGGTCCTCTCAAAATATGTTGAGTACTGCAGGGTTTTTAAAAATTTTATTCCTAAATTGTAGAAGGAAGATATGAATTTCTCAAAAAAGGAAGGAAGAAAATTTCTAAATGAACAAAAGTCTGTAAGAAGTAAAAACTCAAAACATACAGGAGGTGGGGAGATAAAGAAGGAAAAACGAAAGATCTCAAGTAAGGAAGCAAGATTTAATGGAAAGAATGAAAGAATATCTCTCTTTACTTAGTTTTAGTGTTGGCTGTACAGTGAAATATGAAGTATGTTGAATTCAGCAAAGGCTTTCAATATTTGCATCTTAAGTTAAAAATCTCAAGAAAGGAAGAGACGGAGGAAGAATGAAGAATAGAAGGAAATATGAAGACGTGAGGAAGAAAGGGAGAGAGGGATTGAAGACAGACCCAAAGAAATGAAGGATCCTCTATACTTACTTTTAATATTCTCTGCGAAGTGTCTTATATATTGGCGAACTGTAGAATCCCCCAAGAGGAATAGCTTTTTGCCCTTAAGAAAGTCTTTCAGTTTATCATTGTTAGTGAATTGTGTCATCTTACAGTGGATGGGCTTCCACAGATTATATGAGAAATATCCACTTGGAATGGGATAGTAGGATCCCGTTCTACACTTTTCACTGGGTTCCTCCTGCTTTTCTAAACAAAATAATACCGATTATGAGACATTGCATGTGAAACCTTAAATATCACCTATTATTTATTACAGGCTGATGCGTTCTATGTGTTAATACTAGCCAGATTCCAAACATTGGGGAACACTGGTATTTACAATGGGTTTGCAAAGCCTGGTTTACAAAATAGAAGCAGAATCCAGGAATGTCACATACCTGTACAGTGTTTTGAGATTAAATTCTAGAAATAGTTTACATGGAGGTGAAGCATGTGTTCCAATAGCTGTGTAGATTTCAATGAACAAGCATATTGGAGAGTTCAGTCAGGGACTATCATTCAGGGACATTACATATTTGTTCTTTGTGTGCACAATATGACCAAAAGTATGTTGACACCACTCAAAATTATTGAGTTCATGTGTTTCCAGGGGGTGGTTATGTTAATGGTATAGCATACAAGGAAAGTTTAGACCAGCCTTTTTCAACCAGGGTGCCCAGGCACCCTAGGGTGCCCTGAGGTTTCTTCAGGGTGCCATGGCAAAATTTCTAAAAATTGCCCGGAACAAGCCTGACCTTCTAGTCGCCGGTGTCCTGACAACCAATGACATCATCAGTTGATAAGGAGGATGTCAGCTGCCTGCACAACATCCTAGTTTGACCCTCCCCTGCCCCTCTCCATCCGTGCTGGGGTCACATTAGCTCAGTGATGGAGAAAAACTGAGGGAGAAGAGAAACAAAGAAATACTAGTCATTACAAGTGTGCAAAAGAGTATTTGCTTTGGAAGAATAAATCCCTTCTAATGTTGGGTGTCCTACATTCTAAAATGCGGTGCATCAAGACTGTCCATAATCTTAAAGGGTGCCTCAGGACTGTCCATAATTTTAAAGGGTGCCTCGGGACTGTCCATAATTGTAAAGGGTGCCTCGGGACTGTCCATAATTGTAAAGGGTGCCTCGGGACTGTCCATAATTGTAAAGGGTGCCTCGGGACTCTCCATAATCTTAAAGGGTGCCTCGGGACTGTCCATAATTGTAAAGGGTGCCTCGGGACTCTCCATAATCTTAAAAGGTGCCTCAGGAGTGTCCATAATCTTAAAGGGTGCCTCAGGAGTGTCCATCATTTTAAAGGGTGCTTTGACTGAAAAAAGGTTGAGAAACACCGGTTTAGACAACCCTGTGGTGACAGCTTAGAGAAGTCCCCTATTTGTTCCAGCATGACTGTGCCCCTGTGTATAAAGCCAGCTCCATAAAGATATAACTTGACCAGTTTGGTGTGGAGGAACCCAAATGTCCTGCACAAAGCCTTGACCTCAACCCTACTCAACACCTTTGGGATCCATTGGAACTCAGATTGTGAGCAAGGTCTTCTCACCCAGCATCTGTACCTGACCTCATATGTGCTATTTTGGTTAAATGGGCACAAATTGCAACAGACACACTCCAGAATCTAATGGAAAGTCTTTCCTTAAGAGTGGAGGCTGTTATAGCCTGAAAATGGAAGCCAGCACTATTTTAATGCCCATGCTTTTGGAAAGAAATGTCCAGCAAGCTTACATAGGTGTAAAAATCTACGTGGTGACATAGTGTAAATGTTAATTTTCATGTACACGGGAGTTAATATAATTGGTCAATAGATTTGTTAGATGTACTTTTACAGGAGACAAAGAGCGTTAGATACAAGTGACTAATACTATCTCAATGCACAGACTACAGGTAGCTAATTCAATAGTGTGTGCATTAAAAACCCTTTTCATTTCTGGAATTTTATACACTCTCCATCCTCTTTCACTACGTATTCAGAAAGGATACTGACTGCACTGTCTGATACATACTTAGGTATACTATCTAGGGGCAGAAATATGATAAGGCAAGCAGGACAGTGGCTAAATGGTTAGCATTTCCACCTGGCAGTACCAAGGTCGTTGGTTTGTTCTCCTGTGTCTGTGTGGGTTTCCTCCGGGTACTCCGGTTTCCTCCCACACTCCAAAGACATGCTGGTAGGTTAATTGGATCCTGTCTAAATTGGCCCTAGTATGTGTATGTATGAATGTGAGTTAGGGACCTTAGATTGTACACCCCTTGAGGGTTAGGGACTGATGTGATTGTACAATATACATGTAAAGTGCTGCATAAATTAATGGCGCTATATAAGTACCTGTAATGAATAAATAAATACTTGGATCCTGTCTAAATTGGCCCTAGTATTTGTATTTATTTATTTCAGGTACTTATATAGCGCCATCAATTTACGCAGCACTTTACATATATATTGTACAATCACATCAGTCCCTAACCCTCAAGGGGCGCACAATCTAAGGTCCCTAACCCTCAAGGGGCATACAATCTAAGGTCCCTAACCCTCAAGGGGCATACAATCTAAGGTCCCTAACCCTCAAGGGGCGTAGAATCTAAGGTCCCTAACCCTCAAGGGGCGTAGAATCTAAGGTCCCTAACCCTCAAGGGGCGTACAATCTAAGGTCCATAACCTTCAATGGGCGTACAATCTAAGGTCCCTAACTCACATTCATACATACACATACTAGGGACAATTTAGACAGGAGCCAAGTATGTATGAATGTGAGTTGGGGACCTTAGATTGTACACTCCTTGAGGGTTAGGGACCTTAGATTGTACACCCCTTGAGGGTTAGGGACCTTAGATTGTATGCCCCTTGAGGGTTAGGGACCTTAGATTGTACACCCCTTGAGGGTTAGGGACCTTACATTGTATGCCCCTTGAGGGTTAGGGGCCTTAGATTGTACACCCCTTGAGGGTTAGGGGCCTTAGATTGTACACCCCTTGAGGGTTAGGGACCTTAGATTGTATGCCCCTTGAGGGTTAGGGACCTTAGATTGTATGCCCCTTGAGGGTTAGGGACCAATTTGAATGTACAATATTTAGGTATGAAAAGCACTGCGTAAAGTGATGGTGCCATATAAGTACCTGAAATAAATAATAAATAAAAAATTAAATAAATTGTACCAAAGCCCCTCTAAATTGTTGTCTGATGAATTTTACATTTTTGAAGCAAAAAATAAATTTTCATTTTGAAAATATGGATTCACTAAATAGAAACTTACTGCCACAGCTGGAAACTTTGACAGGTTTTAAAGGCTTTGAAACTTCCAGCCCAATGTTTGACCTAAAATAAAATAACAATGTTTTACCAAAACATTATAATTAAAATGTCTTCCCGCCAAGTGCACACAAGTTGGTCTTCTTCCATAAGGCTTCATATATACATACATGTATTTGCGCTTGGAACGCGCTCTGCCGCTCCCTCCCAGCACAGGCACTGGGCTCTCACCAATCATTCCTGGTTCCCGAACACCTGATCATTGTGAGAGCCTCTGAATGGCTATCACAGTGATCAGTCATTGTACAGCCCGTCCTTGTGTTTTTTTTCTCCTCTTAAATGGAGAAAAAGATACATTATGTCTTTTTCTACTGCTGGAGGAGAAAAATGTAAACAAAAACAAATTGCCCTCCAGTGGATTCCCCCGCCCTTCCTCCTGACCAGGCCATGTTTTGCGTTACGGCGCTGAGTTGCTTTGACTGACAATTGCGCAGTCATGCAACGCTGCACCCAAATTCAATTTACGTCCTTTTTTTCCCATGAATAGAGCTTTCTTTCGGGGGTATTTAATCACCTGTGCGTTTTTTATTTTTTGCGCTATAAAAAAAAGCCTGACAATTTTGAGAGAAAAAAAATATTTTAGACTTTTTGCTATTAAACATGCCCAGTAAAAAAATGTAAAACATCAAATTTCATCATAAATTTAGGCCAAAATGTATTCTGCTCCGTGTCTTTGCTAAATAAAAATCCCAATACGTGTAAATTAATTGGTTTATGTGAAAGTTATAGCATCTACAAATGGCGGTATATATACTGGGATCAATTTTTACTAGTAATGGCGGCGATCAGAGACTTATAGCGGGACTGCGGAGGGTATTCTGACACTGGGGGGAACTGTCTTGTTGTCACTGACATCTGCAGTGACACCAATACAGTGACCAGTGCTAATAAAAAGCACTGACGCTGTACTAATGGCACTGGGCATGAAGGGGTTAACATGTGGGGTGTTCAAAGGGTTAACGGTGTGCTGTTTTAATGTGTGCTGTGTTTGTGTGCTTCACTGTAAGCACACTGCTTTGTATGGCGGTGCTATGCAGAGCCATGCAAAACAGTGCGCAGGAGTTGACAGGGGAGAGATCTGTATTGTTTACATACAGTTCTCTCCTTCTGTCGGTAATGCTCCTCGATCACCGGGTGGCGGCGAGCAATCACCGGCCGGGACCTGGTGATTGACAGCCGAGGCCACGAATAGCGGTGCGCGCCCCCTACCTCGAAATGCAAAATCACATATGTATACATGATTTTGCACACCCATGCCGCCCTGTTGCAGTATTACTGATATAGGGTGGACGGGAAGTGGTAAAAAAAAAAAAAGAAAGAAAAAATAGATCTGTGTTTGATCTAGGTCAGGGTCAGTGTTAGGGTCAAGGTCAGGGTCAATGTTTCCTGATAAAAACAAATTATAATCCTCCTAGATACACTAGTAAATAGCTGTGATGATATGTACAGTTTTACTAACACATGTCAAAGTTGCAAAATTGTGTTCAGGAGTTAGGATTTGTTTTACCCTCAGTCACAAAGGGGTTAATAACATTTTTTCACTCAAGGCGGAGTTCCACCCTGAAAAATAAATAAATAAAAGTCAGCAGCTACAAAAACTTTAGCTGCTGACTTTTAAAATACAGCCACTTACCTGTCCCTGGGTCCAGCGATGTCCTCACCGCGGTTGGTTTCACCGGCCGTCTTCTCTCCCCAGCACCGGCATCTTCAGTGTGGGCACCCGGATGTGACAGCTTGAGACTTCACAGCCGGGTGCCCACTGAGCATGCGCGAGAAGCGCTGCCCTTTGTGAATGGCCCTGTAGTCTTCTGGAACCAGACATGTGTCCCAGAAGACTACGGGGAGGGAGGGTAGGAGGACAACCTCTGTTCTGATCGCCAAGGCGATTGCAGCGGAAGTGGGAGCGGGTGTCAAATTCGGATACCCGCTCCCCAAAGGTGCCAATCCTTAATGGGGAGCGGGGGACAAAGACTTAAAGCGGAACTTCCCCTTTTGTGTGGAGGTCAGCTTTAAAGCAATATTATTATTTTGACATACTTGTATAGCACTGACATGCTTGTCACTGGTTTACATAGAGAACAGTGCATCAGCCCCAGTCCCGGGGGAAGCTCACAATTTTTTTTTAACCCAACACAATCAGGGGCAGACTGACCATTCGAGCACTTGGGCACTGCCTGAGGGCCCAGGGTCAGTAGGGAGCCCCATGAAATGCCCCTGTTACCTTTTTATAGGCTTTTTTGGGTGTGGGCAAGGACACAGGGGCCCCATGGTCCCCTATTGCCCGAGGGCCCCATGAGTTGTCAGTCCACCCCTGGCTGTCACATTTTGGAATGTGGGAGGAATCTGGAGCAGTCGGGAGAATCCAACCAGAAAAGGGCAAATGTACAAACCTCATGCAGAAAATGTTCTTAGTGGGAACTGAAACCAAAGCCAGAGCGCTGCAAGACAAGAGGACTAACCAAATCTACTATATTGTCTTGTCATTCGACATTTAAAAATGTATTTTAATTGCTGTTATAGGTGCTTTTCCATAGTTGCAAAAAAAAGTGGATGTTGCTTCTTGGCAAGGTAAAACCACATGTAAAATGGCCTTTATATTAAAATGGACATTATCCAGGTCAGCACACCACTACGCCTGATGAAGCCTTATTTTTAAAAGGCGAAACATGTTGAGTTTTGGGTGCTTTTTTGTATCACCTTCACTTTAATATCACATCAGAGATTACAGGAGGTATTTGAGCATTGAGGGAGCTAGTGGAGGGCCATTTACAGGATCAGGTATTGGTGTATTTATAAGATTGATGGGACAGTAAAGAATATGTAAACCCAATATATTCATATTCCTGATATGTGCCTTCTGTACCATGTAATTGTAGGAAAAACTGTTCTCTTTGTATTGCTTCCTTTGTATGAAATCCCTGGTGTTCCTGCCCGCACCTCTGCTTTCCTTTCAAAACTGACCACCTTAGGCATGGGAACACAGCGTGGTCAGTTTGTTGGCTGTGCCTGCTCTCCTCCAATGATTAGAATTCTGCTCATTCAGTCCCTCCCCGTACACAGCCATTCACTCAAAGGTTTAGTGTGCTGCTGTTTCTCCTCCCCCCAGCTCTCTGTTCTCAGTTGCCTAAGCTGCTTAGAGGGTATGTGATTACTTATAAAATAAGAGAAGAAAAATAGGGATTTATCATTTTTTTTTATATGTACACACAAATGTTTTGCTTTTCATTTCTATATTAAATGGAATGGGCTGTTTTACAAAGTGAGGGTTTACATATTGTATACATTAATGCCGTTTCGAGGTGACATGGAGTAAGTAGTTCATATGTAGCCAATATATATAGAGAATCTATGTATCAGGCATCTCAAAATGGCGGACCATGGTACGGACCCATGGGCGGACTGACCATTTGGAAACTCGGGCACTGCCCGAGGGCCCGGGTCAGTAGGGGTCCCCATGAGATGCCCCTGGTACCTTTTTCATAGGCTTTTTTGAGTTTGGGTAAGGACACAGGGGCCCCATGATCCCCTATTGCCCGGGGGGCCCCATGAGTTGTCAGTCCGTCCCTACACGGACCTTGATCGAGTGACAGGTCTATCTGGACCACAGCGGCCACGCCATTCAGTTGCCTCTGTCCCTTCTCCTTCCCACACCCTCCATCAGGACCTGCTATCGCTCCCATCCTCTGCTGAGACGATCATCTTCAGAGCGGGGCAGAGGATGGGAGTCCCAGCCGGTCTGGATAGAAGCCCCACTTTTCAAGTTAATTGGCAGTGATTGGTTGCTTGCAACACAGGGCGGTCCTAGCAACCAATCACCCACTAGTTATCAGGAAACGTTGGAAAGCTCCCACCCTCCTTTCAGACCTGATGCACCTACCTTTCCCTGCCCTGCTGAGTAAGGTAGGAATGGGTGCAATGTAAAGGGGGATGCTGTTGTCCAAAGGGAGGCTGCAATGTAAAGTTGAGGACTGTGGTGTAAAGTTGGGGACTATGATGTAAATGGGGTGGGATGTGATGTAAAGGGACACTGCAATATAAAGGGGAGGGGGGGTACTGTAATATAACGGAAGGCCATCTTGTAAAGGGGTAGCTATATATGTAACGGGGAGGGGCTGGAGTGTAAAGAGTGCAAAGCAAATTGTAAAGCGCTGAGCAAACTGTTGGCGCTATATAAATCCTGTGTAATAATAATAATAAAGAGTGGTGCGATGATGTAAAGTGTGGGGGGGGGGGGGGGGGGGCTGTGATGTATATGTAGGGACTATGTTACAAAGCAGGGCCATGATGTAAAGGTGGGCACTGTAGTGTAATAGGGTTGTAATATAAAGGAGGGGGGGTGCTACAAAGTAAAGGGGTGACTGTGATGTAAAAGTGGATATTGTAATGTAAAGGCAGCTGTAATTTAAAGGGGAGACTGCAATGTAAAGGTGGGTTGTATGTAAAGAGGAGCACTGTGATGTGGGGGGGGGGCTGTAACATGAATGGGGTGCTGTGATGCAAAAAGGTGTATGATATGAAGGGGATGTAAAGGTGGGACTGCAATGTAAAGTGAGGACTGTGATGTAAATGGGGCTCTTTGATGTAAGGTGAACTGTGAGGAGCACTATGATGTGGGGGGGGGGGGGCTGTGACATTAATGGGGTGCTGTGATGCAAAAAGGTGTATGATATGAAGGGGATGTAAAGGTGATGTAAAGGAGGGACTGCAATGTAAAGTGAGGACTGTGATGTAAAGGGGGGACTGTGATGTAAAGGGGGGACTGTGATGTGAATGGCGTGCTGTGATGCAAAGGGGAGTAAAGGGGGACTTTGATGTCAAAGGGGGGGACTGCAATGTAAAGGGGGGCTGCATTAAAAATGTGGGTTGTATTGTAAATTGGGGTTATATTATAAAGAGGAGCGCTGTGATGTAAAGCTGGCATTGTGATGTAAATGGGGGGATGTTGATGTGAAGGGGAGGACGGATGACGCTAATGTAAAGAGAGGACTCTGATGTGAAGGGGGAATGAGGACACTGATGTAAAAAGGGGGGGTTGTGATGTTAAGGATTTGAGCCACAGAACAAATATGAGATTTGGACCTCTGCTGGAAGAAAATGTTACTGATCGGACCTCCGTGAATTTTAATTCATCACCCCTGCTATAAAGGAAAAATGCCATATATCCCTGTTAATTCTCTGCAGGAAACACGGGTATTATATGGGCATTAAGAGGCTTTCGAAAAAAAAAATTTTAACAGAAAGAAAAAGAGGTGATAGAAGAGAGCATGCATTGGCTATAGTCACTATTAAAGAGGCATAAGCCACCCTTCTCTAGTCTACCTAGTAGTTCTGCCCAAATCAGAAGTCACCTCTTGTATGACTGGCGGCATGCACCACTACAGCTGACCCTCCTATTCACATTAATTGCTGTCTCTGCCAATGAGCTCCTTCTCATCAGCATGGTGGGAGTCTCCGCACACCATGCAGTATTGCAAGGCAGAGGGCACTGTTGAGGGCGATCCTGTGATCTTGGGACATGGCCCGGGACACAGCATTGGTGGGACAGAAGGCATTTGCTGTCCCAGCAAATCTGTGAAAATTGGCATCTATAAGGGAAGGATTAGAGCAGGGGTGGGCAAACTTTTTGACTTGAGGTCCGCAATGGGTTCATATATTGGACCTGGGGGCCGGACCAAGAGTAGATGAATGATGTGTATGTGTCATCCATAGTAAGTATAGTAATATTCCCCCATAGTAAGCATAGTAATTCATCCCCCATATAGTAATTCATCCCCCATAGTAATTCATCCCCCATAGTAATTCATCCCCCATATAGTAATTAATCCCCCATATAGTAATTCATCCCCCATATAGTAATTCATCCCCCACAGTAATTCATCCCCCATATAGTAATTCATCCCCCATATAGTAATTCATCCCCCATAGTAATTCATCCCCCATATAGTAATAAATCCCCCATAGTAATTCATCCCCCATATAGTAATTCATCCCCCATAGTAATTCATCCCCCATATAGTAATCCATCCCCCATATAGTAATTCATCCCCCATAGTAATTCATCCCCCATAGTAATTCATCCCCCATATAGTAATTCATCCCCCATAGTAATTCATCCCCCATAGTAATTCATCCCCCATATAGTAATTCATCCCCCATAGTATTTCATCCCCCATATAGTAATTCATCCCCCATAGTAATTCATCCCCCATAGTAATTCATCCCCCATATAGTAATTCATCCCCCATAGTAATTCATCCCCCCTATAGTAATTCGTCCCCCATATAGTAATTCATCCCCCATAGTAATTCATCCCCCATATAGTAATTCATCCCCCATATAATAATTCATCCCCCATATAGTAATTCATCCCCCATATAGTAATTCATCCCCCATATAGTAATTAATCCCCCATATAGTAATTCATCCCCCATATAGTAATTCAACCCCCATATTAAGTCCCCAAGTCCCCCCTGTGTCAATTCACTTACCTTTGCTCCGCGCGTTCCTCTCGCCGTGTTCCCGCGCCGTTCCGGTGTAGCATGAAAATCTGTCTCCTATGAGGATCTGTCCCCCTCGACGTATCTGCGCATGTGCCAGTTTCAGGCATTAGCAGCCGATCGGCGATCTCCGGCACATGCGCAGATACGTCGAGGGGGACAGATCCTCATAGGAGACAGATTTTCATGCTACACCGGTCTTCAGGGCGGACTGTGAGAGGAGCCTAGCTCCCCTCACGTTCTCCGCGGGCCGGATTAAAAGGTCCGCCGGGCCGTAGTTTGCCCATTGCTGGATTAGAGCCTCCTTTGGACTTTTACTGCTGTCTGGGTCCCAAATAGGTAGATATCCCTTCACTTTTTGTGAGCTCACCAGGACAGGAGGTGAGTGTAAATATTTCCATTGGGGACACAGAGCATCATACAAACTTAAGAGAGGTTATCTTTTTACAGAAATAGTTTTTGGCTTGGCTTCAACCAGGAACCCAAGGCAACTTTCTGTGATATGGCACACCCTTTCCTACAGTAAGGTGTCCAGTTGTGTGCATTACCTGCTAAGAAGAAGCTGCTCCTCCTCTGTAAGATAGGAATGATCTCGGTTGACGGAATTCATATGGGTTAGAGCTTCGCAAGGGTAATTTTTAGGCTTAACACAATAAAAAGCCTCCTTATCCCTTTTATCGATGTAGGCACAGACTTCCTCCTGGGTGTCAAGATGGAACCCGCATTCACTGTTGGCGTAGCTCGTAGCACTTGTGAAATTTCCAGTGTACTTAATGTTGGCGAAGCCTTGGTTCCTGCCACGCCATAAGGCAGAGACGGCCTCGCTTGGGTGCATTAGGACTATCGATATGTGCACAGTTCCCTCCCAAAACAAGGTGAATTTTACTAGATATGTCCCATTATTATAATCTTTTATACTGCCACTAGCACTGCTGTTCGTGGCAGGTGAGTATATTCTGGCCCTTAAATAATCACCGCCATATGGTTTTAGGGCTCCAGAATAATCATATGCATCAACCCTCACAAACAGTAGGTCCTCCAAACAGTAATAATTTTTTGGGTTAACAACAGTCAGTTTGGTCTCCTCTGCACTGGTTGCCTTTTCCACGTCATCAATGGACACCTTTGGAATGGGCCTGTCAATCTTATTGAAAAGGTCTTCAATTTCATCATCGGTTTCCAATAGTGCAGGGATGGAGTCTGTACTGCTACATTCTTTTTGTGGTTGGCAGTTACATAACTGCAGCATGTTAATTTTAGGGACCTGAAAAATAAGTTAAATGTTTTAAAAGTGTAATGTTGCAATAAAAAACAAAGCAGGATTCATCAATAACTTATTTGAATGGTTAGTCCTACAAAAGCTAAAATAAACCACCCACTGGCTAGAGGTCTCACTTTTTCTATTGTACTCCTTTAAATGTTAAACAAACTCCACCAAGGCTCCCTTATGGTTCTAACTTCTTACCACCGTCAAGTGGACGGAGCTGAGAACACAGGTGACCCATGTTGCCACTGGGACACAAAAGGAGTTCTTTATTAAAGTTTTCACTCAACAGTCACACAACTTTCACTCCAGATTTACATATTTTCTTAATTCAAACTCCGAAGACAGTTTTGGAAATCTTGGGTGCAAACATTTATAAATTGACCACAAGGAACACATTTCTGAAGCTGTGAATGTGTCATCAAACATGCACCTGAAAGATTCAACTACAATGAATGTTTGGTAAATGCCAGATTCTATGCTTTCTACATATGTTCCCAATTGATGGAAAAATCCAAACTTTTATAGTTGTGCCTGGAACAGGAGGTCAGAGGAAATCTCTTCCATAGATCCCTCTTATCACCAGGCCAGGTACTCAATTGGAAGATATCTCCTCTATTCCTGTTCTTGTTGCAGCACTCACCCCTGAAAGGACCCACTGAGTGGTCCTAAGGTTCATTCCCATGCTAGTGTATCTTCAGCCAGGCACACAGTCTCAGTCACTCTTCCAGCTCTGTGAATAGTCTAGGGGTATCCTTTTTCTTAAAGTAATAGTAAACCTCACACATGAAACATTAACAAAGCCTATTCCTCTACAGTGTGTACTTGTCTCAATTAAGAGCACTAAGTGTCATTTCTGTCTGCTGCCTTGTTTCCCTGCTAACAGCACTTTTGACAAGTTTTCATGACACCAAGAAAAAAGTGGTTACAGGGGAGATTGACAGTCTCAGCTCTGTTCCTGTTTGCTGTGTGGAGTGGGGGGGGGGTGTCTCTTCCCTCCAATCAGCTCTAAAAATTCTCCTTACTGAGCTCTGCAGAGTGTAAGTTTAGGCCTTCACCTCTTATTTTCTAAGATCTCAGACAAGCTAAGATCTCAGATTAAGTGTTATTTCTGTCTGCTTCCTCCTTCCTCTGCTATCGGCATGAATCACTTCTGACAAGTCTTCCTGACACCAAAAGAAAAAATGGTGACAGGGGAGAGACCCCCAGCTGATCGATATCCTCAGCTCTGTTCCTGTGTACTGTGTGAAGGGGGGTGTATCCCTTCCCTCCAATCAGCTCTCAGAGCTCTCCACTCTGAGCTCTGCAGTGTGTAATATCAGCTCTCTGCCCCCTGTTTTCTGAACACTCAGACAAGCTTTATAAATTCAGCACTATGAATGGATGTAGAGAAGACTCAGATAAACAGGTACAACTTATGTAGGAGGATTTATTTTACCCCTGTGTATCACCTGAAGCCAGTCACTGCACTGGGTTTATGTATAGGTTTACAACCACTTTCATTCTTTATTAGATTCAAACTTGGATGAGGTGTAGGGTAGCTGTGGGATACTCCAGCAACATAAAGTAAAAACTTGAGGACACTTAATCAACAATAACAAATAATGGACCAAGCCACACAGGGACACTGTAAGAAATGTTCACATTTTTGCACAGGCCGACACTATTATGAGAGGGATAGCAACAACTCTCAGTTACTAGGATCTCACACAATGGTCTGTACTCACAAATGTCCTTGGATATTTGCATGCCTCCTTCCAATATGAACTCTCCAGACCAGATCCTTCAGTCAGCTCCAGCAAAGGCTCTGCTGGGACCTCAATGATCAAATGAAGAAGAGCAGCTGAACTGCTCAGCAGCCCTTCATGCTGGGAACTTCTGGACAAGACCCCTCTGCTCCAGGCCTCAAACTATTTATGCACTCTCCCAGCCACCTACTAGTAACCCTCCCCTAGGGATTGGCTGGGACCACATAAACATTCAGGCTGTAGGTTTGACTATCTAGACCCTTACTTTCCAGAACCATCCTGAAGGCAGAGGGAAACAGTCAACCCAAATCCTGTGAAACTCAGAGCAGTAGAAGCAACCACAAGCTGCTCCACTGATTACAGAGGGGTTAAAGAACTAAATTTACCTAACCTAGCTAGCACCTAGCTAGGAGTGTGCTACATTGTCATAACTGCAAAACGTGGTCACCAGGACAAATAGAGAGGGTAACTCTCACTAGTGCCACACAGGCAGCAAAAAAAACCTGAAAGAGGTTTTAACTCAGACACATTCTATCCAATAGAAAAAAAAGTCCACCCCACTCCTGTCTATTCCTTGACCTAGATCTTCACTCAGGCCAGTTTTATATTCTTGTTAATACTGTCATAGCACCTTTTCTCTAGAAACAACTCCCATTTTTATATATCTGGATAAACATTTTATATTGACTTTGTAAACCGGTACCAAACTGATAAAGCTTACAGCTAACCATATACTAGAATTTTGTTCAAACACTTTCATTTCCAGACTGTTCAGTTTTTAAATCATTATGGGTGTCAAATTGACATTCATTTTGACCGCAATGATGAGAAAAATCAAAGGAGCAGGATGGAAAATTTGGTTTTCTGTTTGGGAAATTACACTCAAGTGTTAAAAGCAAGCAAAATTTGAAGTACTTTTGAGTGACATTCAAACGCACTGTGGAGAATTTTAGTACGAATGTTCATATGAGATTTTAGTTGTGTGTGAACAGCTTAACACTGGAACCCAACTGTAGGCAGCAGAGATATATTTTCTCTACAAAAAATTTTCATTCATGATATATTAAAGTGTATCTCTAAAAACGTTTGTTTCATTTTGGAAGTGGGGAAGGGTTCGTCCCTCTATCAAGCTTTTATTGATGTCTTTGTCTTCCTTGGGGAGATTTACCCTTTTTGCCCTGGTGACCTTAGCCCTTGAGAAGGAAAGTGAGGGGAAATCCAAAATTTTAGGATTGTCACCAGAGCAAGATGTAAAGGGAAACATTTTGAAGTGCTTTTGAGTGATATTCAAATGCACTCTGGAGAATTTTAGTACGAATGTTCATAAGAAATTCTAATTGTCTGTGGCGAACTTAAGACTGGAACCCAACTGTAGGCAGCAGAAATATTTTTTCTCTTTACATTAAGTTTTCATTCATGATATAGTAAAGTGTAAAGTATCTCTAAAAACTTTTCTTCATTTTGGAAATGAGGAAGGGTTTGTCCCTCTATCACGCTTTTATTGATGTCTTTGTCCTCCTTGGAGATATTTACGCTTTTTGGCCTACTGACCTTAGGAAAGTGAGGGGAAATCCCAAATTTTAGGGTTGTCCCCAGAACAAGAGGTAAAGGGAACTCTTTAATGTCCAAATGAGAAATTCTGCTCACTTTGGGAAATTTCCCCCAACTTCCTGTTCTTAGGACATGAAATAAAAGGAAACTTCCCAAATGGTGCACAGACAGTGAAAATTACATTAGTGGGGGTTTTAATCCTCTGCACCGCTGTCTTAAACAATTTAAAGGTTTTAGTTTTACATACCCTTTAGTTTCTAAAACCCACATGGTGTAAAGTACCTGCACATTTGTCTGATTGAACACCAAGAAGATTATGGCAGTTACCACTGCCACTATCACGACCAATCTAAGAGACGGCTTCATGTTTCGCAGAGCAATTGCCTCCTGGAGAACAAAAAGAGGGAGACAGGCATTATTTTTAGGATCCCAAGAGAACATGTCCTGACAATGGAGGCGCCCATCTCATGTGAAGGACACTCTCTTCTTGAAGTTGTGTTAGTTAAAAGACAGGCTTGGGAGTCGGCGGCGTCACCTCCAAAGCTGTACAAGGGCCTTAAATTTAATAGGTAACATCTGTACTTACAAACTAATTGTATGAAGCTTAACAAGAGAGACAAAGAAAGGGAGGTATAAAAAGACAATGGCAAAAAGAGAAAAAACAAATAGCTGGAAAAGCAGTGGCCATGCACATGACCTTCTGTTCCCATCAGAACAGTTCTTTTCCATATACAAGTCAATAGGAAAGCAAAAACAGTTGGGGACAGCTTAGAGGGTGTCAACTGCAGGTCAGAAGGAGGTCCACTGCAGGACAGAAAGAGGTCCACTGCAGGACAGAAAGAGGTCCACCGCAGGACAGAAAGAGGTCCACTGCAGGTCAGAAAGAGGTCCACTGCAGGTCAGAAAGAGGTCCACTGCAGGACAGAAAGAGGTCCACCACAAGACAGAAAGAGGTCCACTGCAGGTCAGAAAGAGGTCCACTGCAGGTCAGAAAGAGGTCCACTGCAGGATAGAAAGAGGTCCACTGCAGGTCACAAGTAGAATCCAAAAGTACAAACAAAACCAGGGCTCAAATCTTCATGCAGACTAGAAGGAATTCTGATTGTCAAATGTTGAGGTGCAGCCCTTCAAAGATCGGGAAATCTTGATACTGGAGAACAAAAGCAAACAAGGGCGCACTCTCATCGTGCATTACCGTGGTACACCACGTATTTATTATAAAAACATATAGATATATACTCACAAACCAAAAGAAGGGAGTTCATCTCCCGAAACACGTTAAACCATAAGAGTTTAGTATTCCATTGAACTGACATTACGAACTACCTGCTCTGTTTTTATTCCCTTTTGGTTTGTGAGTATACAGTCATGGCCGAAATTGTTGGCACCCTTGATATTTTTCCTGAAAATCAAGTATTTCACACACAAAAAAGGTATTGCATTAACACATGTTTTGCTATACACATGTTTATTCCCTTTGTATGTATTGGAACAAATATAAAACAGAGGCAGAAAAGCAAATATGACATAATGTCACACAAAACCCCAAAAATGGGCTGGACAAAAGTATTGGCACCCTTAACTTAATATTTGGTTGCACACCCTTTGGAAAACATAACTGAAATCAGTCGCTTCCTATAACCATCAATAAGCTTCTGACACCTCTCACCCGGAATTTTGGACCAC